CTAGACTGGTTGCCAGCAAAGACTTGCTGTCAATTGTCTTTCATTATTAGTGATTCCTATATTGTATTTATTTCTATGCTAGACCTACTAAGGCAGCCCTCGTAGCCTCCTCATCCCAGAAATTCAGTAATAACAACAACAAAGATGAGGAGAATAGTCTGAAAATAAGTCTACTAGTATAAAGAATAGTGTAAATAAGTGCGGTTTGTTACATTTTACAATTATCACAATTTTTCTTAGTCGCATAAAACTTTAAACTGTTGTTATATATATATAGTATATATATTTATATATATATATATATATATATAGTGAATTCGATTAAAACAAAAAAAAAAAAAATTGCATCCAAAATATTTAGATTTCGGCATTAAATAAACCATAGAGATTGATACGCCACTAAACAAAAACTACCAGCCAACCAATAAATGACTATTCCAGATGGTACTTGTACTTTGGTAATTTATTAAATGTTAAGTATTGCTCAGGTTGCATGAAACGTATGTCAGATATAAATTCTACCAGGCCTGTTTAGACATCAAAGAATTTAAGATGGAAAACACTTCTGTTTCTTTTAAAATTCATTTCTTTATTAAATAGTAAATAAATATTGCATTGTACTGAGTTCACATCTTTTTTATAATCTTGTAAATAAACATTGCTGAGTAAGTCAAAAGTGTTTATAGTAATAGCGGTGTCTATTTGACACAATTTTTTTTTAGCATGCACAAAGTTTAAATATTGCACAATTTTGAACAACTGGTTTTCACATATTCCATCTTAATTAAAGTCAATATATTTTTTGATTTATTCACAATACTTCTTTTACCTTTGATTGTGATAGATTTTATTATAGAGGCAATGTTTCAAGCAGGTACCCTCTGGCCAACACCAGGTGTCCATTATTTTGGGCTGATAGGAGATATTTTATATTAGTTGATTATTTATTATTTTTATCCCCGCCCCCATGACACCACTTCTTGTTTGTTCCTGCTGAACCAAAATATATGAATTTTATGACCTGACTTAGGGATTGAACCACTGGTCACTGCAACACTTAACCAACACCTATAGCCACTATACCACTTTATATAGTGTATTTTTGGAGACTTGAATCCTATGTCAGTTTTGACATTTGGTAATCACAATGGCATTTTGATACATTCTAGTTTACGTCAATGTTTTTAGCTTTTGAGATAAAAAGAGTTATTTCCCTTCATTGTGCACTCAGTTAGTTATGAGCTGTGAGTGATAAACGTTTAGACGATCATGTATCTTTTGATACATGACTGACGAGGCAGATTTTTTTCCTACAGTAGGTTGTGGTAGACCAGTTGCCATCCAAGGCTATAGAACCCAGTCTGTCCTGCTATTTACCCACAGATGGGGGTAGAAGAAGAGGATTTATACCTATCCCAAGGGTATTAGTACGTAAGCGAATGTAACGGATTCGACTGGAATTCGAACTTGGTTCTCCGATTCCTCAATCCGAGCCGCTATCCATTGCTCCACCATGAGTATTTTCTTGTGTATAATATGACCCTGTGTTTCTGAAGCTAAAAACAAGGAATAAATTATATCCTTGAGTATAATACACCCTAATAATACAGCCATCCCTACATATTTTTTTTTAGACCATATCCATTAAAATCTCAATGTTGTATATATATTTCAGTAAAATATTAAAAAAAAAAATTACAGAATAGAAATGATTAGTTTGGTTTGGTTTGTTTTGGTTTGGTTTTACGACATATCAACTTCAATGGATTATTTAATTCCAACAAAATTTTTATTGTTGGTAATATTTTTTTTTAAAAATCTATTTCTGGTAATATTTTTCCTTCAAAAATTCCATTTCTGGTAATAATTTTCTTTCAAATATGTATCGCTAGTAATATTTTTCTTTTTTTTCAAAAAATGTATAGCCGGTAATATATATTTTTCTTTTCCTTTCTTCCAAAAATATATTGCTGGCAATATTATTTTTTTTCAAAAATGCATTAAACGTATAGCTGGTAATATTATTTTTCAAAAACGTACAGCTGGCAACATTATTCTTTCAAAAACATATAGCTGGTAATACTATTTTTCCAAAAACGTATAGCCGGCAACATTATTTTTAAAAAAAATGGCCTTTCTGTTGGACGTAGTGTATCGTCATACCCAGGACATGGATATAGTTTTTAAGGGTTGTCATATTATCAACCGAAATCGGTAACAGGAAAGACAACAAACTATAGAATCCTTCGTTCTTACTTCAAACTGATTACAGTCGATGCGCCCACATCAAAAGATATAATAAACAAGCGAGAAGCATGAATTAAAGGAACTGTTAGCATAGAACGTACGGTTATATCTAGCCATTCCAACTGTAAAATCATGAGACATTACCAGCAATCTAGTATTGTGCTTAAATTCATAAAGTCTAGGTACTGTGGAGAAAAGTTCATCAGAACAATTACCATTAAAGTTTTTTATAGAAAAGGCACAGGGAAGCTAAATTACGGTGGTGGAAAAGTGACTGCAGTAGAGAAGTCAGGTCAGAAATAATGACATTGCAGAACCTTGTTTGGATTTTATCAATGGTCTCTAAATATATAGCAGGAGCACCAGACCAGATGTGGCAGCAATATTTAAAGCATGGACGAGGAGTAGTCTTATAAGTATGTAAGATAGATTCGAACGAGAAAGATTGTCTCACTCGACACAGTGAACCAACTTTCCTAGCAGAAGACCTGAAGTGGATGTTTAGAAATTGAATGTTTTTTCTTATTTCTGTTTCAAAACTTATTTTTGAATTTCTGGGTAAACATGGTAACTAGATATACCCCGTAATACATTTTACTGTGTTAATTAATCTACCATACTTTTCTGTTTAACATGGCTTTGTCATATTTCTATATATACAGTGTAACCCGGATATAAGAGAGATTTTCTCTGGTCCCAAATTAGAGCCTGTGTTAATGTATATAAAATAGACCAAACCCGGATATAAGAGACTTCTTCTCTGGTCCTGACAACTCTCTTATATCCGGGTTACATTGTATTAATAAACTATGAAAATAAAAAATATTGCTAACATTAAGAATGAAGAGAGAAACAAAATTTTTATCATATCAAATACCTTTTTGTAAACAATTATCAACACCTGTCTACTTTGTGTTTTATTATTTATTGTACTAACTGAGCATATTTGCATTCTTGCTGTTTCAAATAAGACGTTTCTAAGCTGATTAAAAATTTCTGAAAACATGTACTTGTGTATAATACGAACCCCCTTGCTTTTGCCTTTAATCTTCATTAGAAATTTCTTATATTATGCAAAAAAAATATGATAAATTAATGTTCATTATAAATACTGAATTGGAAATAACAGATGGTAAAACAGCAAGGGAAACAAAATTGACAAACCGAGTTCAAATCCAGGTTATGGTTGTTTATGTTCATGCTGCTCTTGTGAAAGGCATGAATCCGTTTCTCCATGTGCTGTCTTATCAATACAGTGACTAAGAAGGTTCCTATCAGTAACATAGCATGATTGTTGATGGAAAATAGAATGGTTGAATCAATATTTTGAGCAATCGGCTCTCCTAGAAATAACTTTACTACCCAGGTAAAATGTTGCTACCTCTATTGTTAGCCTTGGCAAAAACTAATAAACTCAGCAAAATAAATTAGAAGATAGACATACCTTAAAAGTTGGTCCTGGTGTTTTGGGTAGAGGTGTGTTATCTGTCCCATCCAATCGGAATGGGGTACCCTCAATTTCACCCCACGTCATCAAAGGCGATTCGTCACCCATGCCAGGTGCAGGTGATGGAGTCTTAACAAAACCATATCCATTCACTCGAGGTGTCTGTCCAGTTTGAATCTCTTTACCATCATGTCCAATCTTTCCCTGATTGGCATGGGCTTTCTCTGAGGCCACCTGCTGCAAAATTTCTTTGTTCTTTTCGGAATTGAAAGGATTAAGGTGAAATCTGGTGTTTTCATGGACAATCTCTCGTTTTTTGGACGTCTTCTCTATTATTTCCTTGGGGGTGAATTTTGCACCTAAAAATGTATGTAAGAAAAATAAAGCATGAATGCACTCTGATAAAACATTTCTATATACTTTCATTTATATTAATTATCATAGCAAATACTAAAAGCATAGAAAGGAATGCAGTGAAAATAGTTTTTGCTACAGGGATGAAATGAAAATAATTTTACTATTCGGAAACCATTGGAAATTATTATTCAGAAAACATTGGAAATTATTATTCAGAAAGCATTGGAAATGATTTTATTATTAGGAATGCATTGGAAATGATTTTATTATTAGGAATGCATTGGAAATGATTTTACTATTAGGAATGCATTGGAAATGATTTTACTATTAGGAATGCATTGGAAATGAAAGTGATGAATCCACTTCTCAACATCTGGCAATAATTACTTTTAAGTGAGAATTTTGATATTGATCATTATTCTCCAAGATAAATCCATTCTCTACATACCATCAGGAAGATACATTAGGCTGTTTTTGGCATTGTATTTCCATGTGTGAATGGAAGATGGCAGAGGTCCTTGGATGGCTTGCTGCTCAATATCAGGTAAAGCTAATTTTTCTTGATGTTCCTGAAAGAGAAAAAAAAATGTTTTAATATTACAAACATCTTTGGTATTGAACTACACAAAGGATTTATAAAATTACCTATTCAAAATTTGTAGCACACTTAAAATTCAAATAATAACAAAACTAAAACTTCTTTGTTACATATCATTTCTGAGACTCTTTTGTGTTGGTCATATAGTCAGTGACAACCAATTTAGTACTTAAAAAAAAAACAAAAAAAAAACTGACCTTGCTTTGCCACCAGTAGTTTATTCAATATTATGCTTAATATGAAATTAAATGTTATGTACTTAGATAATAAAAAAAAGAAAAAAAAGAATGCTTTTGTCTATCTGTAGTTTAGTAGAATTTTTAAACAATATAAAGCAAGGAATCAGTTTGGTAGTTAAATATTAATAATAATAATAAAGCTCAAATGGAGTAATGGATAGCGGCTCGGATTGAGGAATCAAAGAGCCAAGTTTGAATTCCTATCGAATCCATTACATTCACTTACGTGCTAATACCCTCGGGAAAGGTATGAATCCTCTTCTTCTCCCCCTAGTTATGGGTAAATAGCAGTATAGACCAGCTTCTATAGCTTTGGATGGCAACTGGTCTACCACAGAAAGAAATGGCAACCTGCTGAGAGGGAAAAAAATCTGCCTCATCAGTCATATATTGAAAGATACATGATTGCTAAGCATGTATCACGCATGGCACATAACTGACTGACTGAGCTTCAGGTTGCCAATAGTTTGACATTTTCTAATGGACATAAAGTAGGGATAAATTTGACAGATAATGACAAAACTGAATATTACCTACCATCAATATTTAATTAATATAGAGATTGGCTAATTTAATGACATATCAGACCCTGTTGGGTTATTTAATGTTCAATATATGTCATGTAAGATTAAAATTACAATGAACTGTCAAAAAGGTTGACACAGGTCCAGTTTGCACTGGAGTCAGAAAAGTCGACAAAAGTCCAGTTTGTACTAGAATCAAAAAGTTGACATTATACCCAAGTCTGCAAGTATACACTTGGAAGGTGACCCCCCTTTTGAGAGTGGTCTTACTCCTCTGCTGGGGATGCAGTCAGAGAATTCTAAATATTTTAATGAACATTTTGAATAATGACATGGAGTTCTTAAATAATTATGGTTTATTAGGTATTTTTTGCATTAGACATAAAGTGAGGGATCATTTTAATTGTTGAATAATAATATAACTGAACCTTTCTGACAGCCAGTATTTTATTAGATACTAGCAGTAGAGCCCAGCGTTGCCCGGGGATGTAACAGTAAGAGATAGATCAAGTATTGACCATCATAAAGACTGAAAAATAAAATTGACAAAGATTATTGTTTAAGGTTGACGGACACACATGTCTTAATTAGTTTTTTCGTTTTTTTTTATGAATTGGTCAAATCCAAACTCAAACAAAAACATTGTTTTCAATTGTTATGAGTCTATTGATTGAATAGAATTTTATTATAAACAATTGTCTTGTAAATGGAATTTTTAAAGCATTCTGAATGTAAAAATAAAGAAAAAAATGTGCAAGACAATAAGAAACACTACCTGCCAAAAAAAAAGTGAAGTTTTGTTGAAATCAGTTGAAAAATGTAGGAAATCTGATCCAATATATAAACGTACAGACACACACACACACACACAATCTGTGTTTTATAATAAGTAAGATTTTCTAATGTACCTGATCTGTATTTAGGAGTTTACAAAAAAAAAAAAAGAGGTACCCTTATAGCGACTAGCAGTTTTTAGATATTTTCTATTGTATATGATTTGTAGGCAGGGGGTCAATTTAAAAATTAAATAATAAAAGTAGATCCCTTTCAGGCACTTTATATAGCATTAAATATGTAATCAGTTTTGGATTTTAAGAAATCAGTCAGTTATGTGCCATGTGTGATACATGCTTAGGCAATCATGTATCTTTCGATACATGACTGACGAGGCAGATGTTTTCTTGCAGTAGGTTGGCATTTCTTTCTGCAGTATACCAGTTGCTATCCAAGGCTATAGAACCCAGTCTGTCCTGCTATTTACCCATAGCTGAGGGGAGAAGACGAGGATTCATACCTTTCCCAAGGGTATTAGCACGTCAGTGAATGTAATGGATTTGAGTGGAATTTGAACTCGGCTCTCCAATTCCTTAATCCAAGCCGCTATCCATTACTCCACTGTGCCTACATCTTCAGTTCAATAATAGAAACAAAGATTATATCACTGGAATTATCATCAACAGTTATCTAATTTTACAGAAGTCCCACTTCAATTTTGAACCATGTTGAAGTTACTGTGAGGAGTCAATGCTTGACGAAAATTGACAGGTCACCTACCTGGTCTTGTTTTTCTTCTTTTTCATATAACCAAGCATGTTTCTCACGGTGTTTTCGTTGCGTCTCTTTCAGAATGTCCCCAAAGGAGGCATTATCTTCACTGGTGTTCTTTGATAAATATTCATCCAGGCTCACGTTTTCTGCTTTTTCTATATCAAAAAAAAAAAAAAAAAAAAAAAAACAATGTAAGACCATATCCAAATAAGAGTGGACAGACAGGTCCAACTATGAAACTCTGGAGTTGGCTTGCGGAAAGTAACATTAATCAGTTAAGAAAAAAAACTTTTACTAATATTAATCCTATATATTTATTATGAAATGAATCAATTTCGACAATTATTTAATATATTTTCTGTTTATATATTATTTTATTAGATACAGTTTATTTAAATAAATATTCTGTCTTTTAAACAAACAGTATTAATTACATTTAACTGCCTGAATGTTTGAGAAATTTCGTAGAAAATATGTGCTTCTCTGACAGAAATCAAACCTGAAACCCTAATGGGAACCCTCATTTGATCTGATGTGCTGATAACCATTCAACCACAAAAAAGTGTCTGGTTAGCAAAGTCTAAATTAGTGTCTATAAACAACAAATCTTCGATGATCCTTCCTGAATGGACTTAATCCCGTTCGTAATATGTTGTCAATGTTTAATATTAAGGTACATTTTGTAAATAGATATGATCATTTGGGAAGTATTGTCAAAGATTTGTTGTTTATAAACAGTAATTCAGACTTTGCTAACCAGACGCTTCTTTGTAGCTGAATGGTTAACAACACATCAGATCAAATGATGGTTACCATTGGGGTTACAGATTTAATTAAGGTAGACGGTTATGTTAGGAAGCAGTTTGTACGGATAGAAGGGGAAGGGAACAGTTAATCCTAGACATGAAAAGGTTAAGTGATTGGAGAAACATCCTCTTGGTAGTCAGTTCCACAGAGCAATGGTTTGCGGGAAGAAGTTGTTCAAGTGGAGCTTACTTCTCACCGATGGAATATGGAGAGAACGTGCATGGTTTGCTATAGTTTGTCACCCACAATGACTCAGAGACACTTTTGGACTCTACCAACATTGGAAAGTGCGGTCTGGGAGCTCCCACCCAAATATGACAACAGTACTCAATTCTTGGCCTGATCTGGTTCTTGTAGAGGACAGCATGAAGAGTCAGGTACGTATCAGAGCAGTACAGGAACTGACTATTTTACCTGAATCTTTAGCAATGGCTCAATATCACATTTAAGAAATACATGTGTGTGTGGGGTGTATGAGTGGATGCTGAAATGTTCTTGAACCCTCAGCCTAACCAACTTCCTAAAACATTATCAAACATCAGAATTTATTTTAGAATCTATTCTTGGTTGGGCCAAGAACTTTTCAGTACATTCTCATGTGTGTACACACACACACACAGTCTTTTGAACAATAGATGTTTATCTCTTGTTTCCTGTTTAGGATTGGGTTTCTGGTTCCTTCTAAAGACTTTTTCGTTCTCTTTCACTCCCAGTAGCCCCTTGCATCTTAGTGGCATTATCACCTTGCTTGGGGTGAATAGAGAAGTAGAGGTTTATCCCTTGTTTCCTGTTTAGGATTGGATTTCTGGTTCCTTCTAAAGTCTTTTTCATTCTCTTTCACTCCCAGTAGCCCATTGCATCTTAGTGGCATTATCACCTTGCTTGGGGTGAATAGAGAAGTAGAGGTTTATCCCTTGTTTCCTGCTTAGGATTGGCTTTCCAGTTTCTTCAGAAGTCTTCTCATTGTCTTTCACTTCAAGTAGTCCCTTGTGTCTTAGTGGCATTATTGCTTTATTTGGAGTGAATTGATTAAATAAATATATATATATATATATATTATGTCATCATTGCAAATATACCATTTAAATCTAATTTTATTGTAATTTTCATTAGTATGTTTACAGGACAGACATACAAACATGGTTCGAGGCAGATTTGACTTTTGATGAAAAAGAAACTACAGGAAATAAATACAGGATTCAACTTGGGGAGAAATATTCCTCACCTGTTTGTTCGGCAACATCATCATCTTTCTCTGCTTGGATTTCTCTGTGAGAAGATGGTGATTTCTGGTTCTGACGAGGTTCGGGTGTTTCAAATGTTGCAGGACTGTTGTCTGAATGATAAGAATAATGAAAAATTTCATTACACAAGGTTTTTTTTTAGTTTTAAGATGATTGAATTTCTACATGAGGTTTTGTCAAAGACTATTTTTGAAAAGTCTTTCTTTCACTTTAATTCTGTTACTCTTTATTTATTGCCACTCCCCTATAACTCACTTTGATCATATATCTGGACCCAGGGGAGTGAATCTATTAAGTTGGTCTTTAGGAAGTATCCTGAACTTTTTATATTTTTGAGAACAATAATTATTATTGCTCTCAATATCTCAAGCACTTTTTTTTTTTTTTTTTTTTTTTTTTTTTTTTAATCGATTCACCCCAAGTAAGGCGGGAAGCCACTAGTACGCAAGGGGTTACAGAAGATTTGGAGTGAGAGCAGATAGCAGTGATAGAGGAAAGGATGAGGAGAAGGATAGTGGATAGATCAAGGCAACTGGAGATATCGATTGACATTACATTTGAATAGTTGGAGATTATAGCTGTCAGGGAAACAGGAATAGGGAAGGGAGTTCCACAGGCGAGAGGTGCGAGATATGAAGCTATTGGAGTAGAAGAGACGGCTACATTTAACAGTTTCAACAGTGAAAGGATGAGAGTGGGATGTCAGCCTTGTAGGACGCTTAACTCACAAAGTCTGGGAACCAGCACAAGCAGCTCATCGGAGCAATTTCCATGAAAGTATTTGTAAAAACGACAGAGAGAGGTGACAGCATGTCTGTGAGAGAGCGACTGCAGATGAGATGCCAGATTAGGGCCAATTATATTGCATATCCGTCTCTGGATCTTATCAAGAACCCCAAGGCAAACAGAAGGGGCTCCAGATCGACAAAATTCCGTTAACCTTGACATATGTTAAATTATAATTTTATGCATATCAATAGGTGTCATGATTTTATATTTAGAAATATGGTATCAGGAGGAAAACTTTGATGTTAATATTTGTACTCCATTCTTTTTTAGTACCTTTTTTTTCTATAGAGTGCCGAGGTACATGCTGAAATTTTGTCCACTCTAAGTGTAATCAAGAAATTCATTATTTGGTCTCCATATCACTCACATTAAACAATCATCAGGGCGTTGTGTTCATAAATAGACCCATCGATGGTTTGGACCCAAATTTATTGTGAAAATACATTTTTTTAAATTTAAATATCACCTAATACAAGGCCCAAGAGCCACTCAAAGTAGAGAGTTAGGTTGTTGTATGGATGTAAGAGGAAGAAGTAAATTCCGATTATATATAGGACTACATAACAGTTGAACCAACGCCTTAAAAAGATTCAGATTGTAGTGATTGGGGAAGCATCTCCTCAGGAGGCTCTTCTACAAGAATCATATGCAAATCTCTCAACATCCTTTTATGACACAAGCAACTCTCTCAATACTATTTTATGTCATATGCAAACCCCTCAATACCATTTTATAGTTTATGTAAATGACTCTATAACATTTTACAGCATATACAAATATCTCAATACTATTTTATAGTTTATGCAAATCTTTTAACATTATTTTATGACACAAGCAAATCTCTTAGTACCATTTTAGGGCATATGCAAATCTCTCAATACCATTTTATAGCTTATGCAAATGACTATGGCATTTTATAGCATATGCAAATCTCTCAATACCATTTTCTGGGATATCTAAATCTCTCAATACTATTTTACAGCATATGCAAATCTCTCAATACCATTTTCTGGGATATCTAAATCTCTCAATACTATTTTACAGCATATGCAAATCTCTCAATACCATTTTCTGGGATATCTAAATTTCTCAATACTATTTTACAGCATATGCAAATCTCTCAATATTATTTTACAGCATATGCAAATCTCTCAATATTATTTTATGGCACATGCAAATCTAATGAAAGAAGCTGTCTGACTAAAACTTCCTTCTTATCGATGGAATATGAAAGGAATGAGGAGGATTTGACCCTGTTCATGGTGGGTCCTAGCTGTAAAGGTCTGAACTGGTGGAAGTAAGGAATGTAGCCTGTCAGAAGATTTGCCATGGAAATAGCGATAGAGTAGCAATAGGCTTGTGATATTTTTCTCTTTTATAAGGGTTGAAAATAATTCATCACCCACAAGGCTGCATAAACACTTTTAAACTCTGTCAAGGCTCGAAAGTAAAGATTGTTTAGCACCATAATGATTCATTTCCTACGGATTAACCCAGCCATTCTCAACCTTTCCTCCATCATTGACCCCCTCGGCTTTATGTATTTCTCCATTTACCCCCTACTCCCATACAAAAAATTCATAGCCATCATAAAGCATTGATGTACAATTTCATGACTAAATGAATGAATGATTTTTTTCATTCAAAATACTAAGGGTTTTTTTTAGTCAAAATACTGTGCCTAAAAAAGATATTAAGCGACACTCAAGATACTAATTTCTTATTTAGTACTAATCTAATTTTTTAGTATAAGTTAGTACTCTGTATAAAATTCAGTATTTTTATTAACGTTTGTAGTCATTAATAAAAAATTATTCATTTTATCCGCTGTATTAGTAGATCTACAAATTAATACTAATCATAATCATTCATTCAAAAAAAATTTTTTTTTAGTATTTTTGTTTTTGGCAATTTAAAAATGTTTTGGAAAATACTAAAAAAATTTTTTTTTGAATGAATGATTAGTACTGACTAATTTGTGACTAAAAATTGTGCAAATTAGTCATTAGTAAAAATACCAAAAACAGAAATAAAAAATACTGACAAATACTAAAAATTAGTAAAAATTCAGTATTCTGATCAAAAATTAGTAATCCACCGTTCATCAATGTCATAAAGTGACAGAAAAACAAGAAGGTCAGAAATTACAAAAAATAATGAACAGAAACAGCAGAAGCATTATCAGTGGGAACAATGCTGATTCATTGAGTCAATCAGTTTGTTTATGCGAGGAGCTGTTTCTGATAATGCTACTCTCATATCATCATCGGCTTTCAGGTGTTTTTTTTAAATTATCAGATACTTCAATTATTTACCCTCGACTATATAATTTTTTACCCTCTAGAAGTAAATTTACCCTTGGTTGAGAACATCTGGCTTAACCCTTTCATTTAAAGCCAGAAAATATTTTTAGATTATAAGAATTGTTTTTGGCAGATAATAATGATTTACTAATACAAGTCTTACTAATTAACCTATAGCTGGTATGGAGGGGAGGTGGATTCATGCCTTTCCCAAGGGTAATTGCACATAAGTGAATGTAATGAACCCAACTGGAATTGGAACTCAGATCTCCAATTAACAATTCTGAGGCATTATCCATTACACCACCCACACATTCAAGCTTACAGCACCTGGTATTCCCAAGTTGTCACCCATCTAGGTAATGACCAGGTTTGATGTTGCTTAACATCTATTTTTTTTATTCCGAGCCGTTTATCCATTACAACACTCACACATCCAAGCTTACAGCGCCTGGTATTCCCAAGCGGTCACCCATACTAACCAGGCTTGATGTTGCTTAACTTCAGTGATCATACAGAAACTGGTGTTTGAACAGGATATGGCTGTATGCCAGGTAGCACCAGCCCACATATAATAACAATATTACATTTCTGAGTTTTGTAGAGAGCCTGGTAAGAGGATTCAAGTACTTTCTGGAGTAGCAGAGGGGACTATCTTTCTAGTTTTTTTTAGCAATGGATCATATGAGTTCCACTATTTCTAGTATTATCATGGAATCTCAGCAATATACAATAAAAATTATACAAAACATTAAATTTTCTTTCTTTTTTTTTTTTGTGGAGGACACCTCTGGTCTCCACCTCTTGTTCCTTCCTTTATAAACATATCTGTTTTAGGTACTTTTGGAATTCCTTGCTAACAAGTAAGAACACTCACAAACTGAAGATGTGCCTGTTTCGGGCTGCCTCGGCCCATATTTCATCTGGATTTCTCGTAACTTAACAAGGTCATTGTTTTCAACAGCATCAAAATACTCGGCTTGTGCCTTCCACTTTGGAAGATCTGGGAAGAAGTCACGCTGGATGATTTGCTGTAAATCCTGAAAGTAGATATGAGAGAATTTGTATTTTCAATCATAAGATAATGGAACAACCATGACACAAAGCCTAACAGGGAGCAGATGTTTTATGGGTCATTGTCAACTTCCTCAAAATCTGAAGAATCAAAATATTTAGCAGAGAAACTGATGTTCTACAGTCCTCTCATAAGTTATACAATTTGAAAAGAATATATTTTCTGCCAGGTTTCCAGGAGAGAGAGAATGCATATTATATATTATAATACATAACATGGCAAAGATAATAAGCAGACCTAACACTTTTGTAACATATCATAGCAATTATGACCCTGAATTCTCACCAGTCACAATGAATGGTTGTACTCTCTTTGTTTAGAGCACTGACTGGGACCTAAATTCATCCCAGACTTACAGAATGTAGACATATATACAATTAATCACAAAAGATGATGGAAAAATGGTCAGTTCTTTCTACTCGTCTAGAAAGTAGCTGTATCTTTAAGAAGGTCAGTTCAAAACAAAAATGTAGTGTTGCTGCAATATCTGGGCTGGAGCTACCCAATTCTGTCTTTCCAGAGTTCAATTGATTGACTCATTTTATATTGCTATCAGCCCTTTACAGGTTATTTAAAGCCAAAATATATATTTTTTTTTTTGGAGGTAATGATTTAGTGATACAAGTCTTAGTAATTAACCCATAGCTTGGGGGAGAAGAGGTGGATTCATACATTTCCCAAGTGAATATAATGAACCCAACTGAAATTGGAACTGGATTAACAATTCAGAGCCAGTATCCATTGCACCACCCACACCTCCAAGCTTACAGCACCTGGTATTCTCAGGCATTTCTTTTTCTCAGAAATTTGCATATGCCATAAATATGGTATTGAGAGATTTGTATGTGCAATAAAATAGCATTAAGAAATTTGTATATACCATAAAAGGGTAGCAAGTCATTTGCATAAGCTATAAAACAGTATTGAGAGATTTACATACAACATAAAATGGTATTGAGTGATTTACATATGACTTAAAATGGTATTGAGTGATTTCCATATGCTAGAAAATAGTATTGAGAGGTTTACATATGACATAAAATAGTACTGTGAGATTTGCTTGTCATAAAATAATGTTGAGAGATTTACATATGCTATATGGTATTAGTAAAATTCTTGTAATGAAAGTTATTTGATAGATTCAAGTGTTTTGGTAGTTTATTTCATCTATGGCATATTATAATAGTATAGTTTAAAATATTTGTTACATTCTCAAGATATACTTTTAAAAATAGCAGCATTGCTTTTACTCTTGGGTTACCACTTTACTTTAAATAAAGCAATTTGATTATAAAAGCCATCAGCAAGACAGTTGCTCAGTTATAGGTACCTCCATGAGATCACTAAGAAAAAGAGCATAGCATGATGAAAAAGATGCCAAATTTGATGAAAACAAAATGTTATCGTCTAAATGTTTATATTATTATTAAGAGGAAAGATAAAAGTTTATTTTAATTATTTTCCTAAATTTTTCCTTCTTTTTAGAACATTGTAAATTTTGATTAAAAAAAAAAACCTTGTTTCTTTTTGCATCACCGGAACTAGTAAAATAACACATACAATTTTTAGCATGTTTTTTTTTTGTGACACACATTAATTTGGAAAATCTTGTAAAAATAAAAATAATTGTTGGATGTTAATGAAATTTTCAGAAACTATTCACAGATGATCGAAATTATTATAAATATGTTGTTTTTTTTTTTATTAAAGTCATGGCAGAAATATTTTTTTTTATATTTATTACCCCCTGCATAACTAATTTTATGAAAACGCTAGAAATTTGATCACGTCAGGTTTAGTGATTACAATAGTTGAAAGCACAAGGCTTTGAGGAATGTAAATCATGTTTTTTTTTGTTTTTAATTGGACCCCCCTACCTGAAAATCAGCTCTGAATTGTAACATACAAAACTCAATAAAACAAAGATATTATTTAATTTCAAATGCCTTTATTTGCTTTTAGTTGTTTTTATGAATATGGACAATATTTTCTGAAAGCAAAAAAAATTTTTGATGAAAAATGAATTTTTAATACAATTATTTGTTATTTCTTTAATTATAATAGATTTTTACATTTAAGTTGTTAAAATATTATAAAATTAGTTAAAAGCCACATCGGGTTTCCTAAGTGTCCTTATGAGATAGATCTTTTTTAGCGCGTTGTACATTGTATCATTTTGACTAATCAGAAGACCCGCAGTAATTAAGAAATATTTTTATTTTAATGTGAATTATTTAAATTTAAAATATAAAGTGTGAGGATGAAAAGAGACCATTACTATATTTTAATTTGTGTATTGTTAAGTTTACTACAAACAATTTCCACATAACAAAATTACCTCCCTTACATTTCACTTTTAAAAACTAGCCTCATATTCTGAGCCTTGTTTTGGATTTGAAAAGTTATATATCTGATGATAAATTAATCTACATGACACTACAGAACAAAGAGTGTAGAATTTTACTGGAAAGTTTCAAAAAGAAAGTATGAAACCAAAGTGATATGAGCCAAGAAGGAGTAATTCATTTTTAGAGAAAAAGATGTTTAAGTTTAGAATTCAAAATAAGGACATCAAGGACATTTTTCCTGCTTCTCTGAGCTTCAGTCAGCCAGTTAAATGCCATGTGCGATACACGATTTGGCAATCAAGTCTCTTTCGATTTATGACTGACTAGGCAGATTTTCCTGCAGTGGGTTGCCGTTTCTTTCTGCGGTAGACTATATTTGGCAACCAAGGATATAGGACCCAGGCTGTCCATCTATTCAGCACATAGCTGGAGCGAGAAAAGATGGATTTTTAAATGCAATGAATCCAACTGGAATTTGAACTCGGCTCTCCGATTTCTCATTCAGAGTCGTTATCCATTTTTACACCACAAAAATCAATCAGTGTATTTTTTTCTCATAGATTTAAATTTTTTTTTTTTACTCATGGAAAAAATATTTGAAATAAAAATAAATTATAACTGCATTTGGGACTCTATGAATGATTAAAAATTTAAATATAATTACAAATCAAAATAATATTTTAAAAATATAGATTTTTAAATAATTGTTTTTTGTTTGTTTTTCCTAAAACTTCTGTAAAAATATGACTGTAAAAAAGAGGCATGTAAAATTACTGATTACCAAAAATTAATAATCGATTGAATCCAAAGATTAAAAATTAACCGAAATATCTAGAAAAAAAAAAAGAAATATTATTTCTTTAGTCCAATAATTTATTTATTGATACAATGAATAAATAAATAAAAATCAATATCGAAGTCACCAAGTGTAATTTTAATTGAATAATTGATTCATGTACTTTTAAATTTTTAAATAAATTTTTAAGTTGCCTATATTTACGCCGTTTAATATAAAAATACAAGGAAGTGTTTTCCATGTCCCATTCTCTGATGCGAACATGTTTAGATTTATAAATGTTTGCTAAATTTGTTCTTTACCCTAAAACATGATAATTTCTCCGGGAGTTGAAACCAACACGCGTGTTTTTATTTTAAAAAAAAATCAACGTTGTTTTGATTTACCTCAACGTAAGTCTCTTCGTCTAAGACTTTTTTCTTCTTCTTTTTAACCACCACATCCGAGAAATCCAAACAATTTCTCTTGGCTACTTGTTTTACAGATTCCGCAACAGCTAAGGAATTCTCTGACATATTTTCGGTCGAAGATTTTGGGTTTATTATTATTACTAATATTATTTTGTGACAGGAAACCCTAAAACGTACGACCGACATCAACAACAATTGACGAAAATGACCTAGAATTTATTTTGTAGTCACCGATTCGTACAATACGAGAACTCTCATAATGCTTAAGCTATAGATTAAAAAATGTTAAACAAATTATTACAACATTTTTATTTTAATAATTAACTGTTTATTGAAATATTTCCGTAAATCCTAGCGATTTTGTCCGATTAATGCCGTAACTAACTACTACAACATTTCTAGGAGTTTTACGAAAATATTTATCGTCAGCATAAACATGTATCACGTGGATTTAAGTTTAGGCTTTCCGTCAAAACTTTCAAATATCTATTTTTACGTGATCTACATATTTTTTCTCGAAAAATATACCGTGTTATTATGACTTTGTCAGTAACATATCGTCACGTCTGGATATTACATTGGGCCGCTCACTTTCTAGAAATTGGCGCTATTATACTTTTTTCTTTGCACCCACATTCAAACAAAACACTACACTACAAATACTTCCGAAGCATAAAATTTGCAATATCATTTTATTTTTTTTTTTTAATTGAAACTGAATGTTTGGGAAATGTTTAGTTTTCAGTCATCATCAATAAAGTTTACTGCCCTCGATTACTGCGCAAAATTTTTTACTGGAATGCACAGTGACCAATTAAAAAAAACGAAAAAAAAAAATTATTTCTGGTAGCTAGGGTAACCGGGACTCAACTAAAATTGTCAATATCTCCCAAACGGTAGATTTCCGCCAATTTTTAATGCTATTTTTGGAATAAACAGGCGAATTTACACCAGGAATGATTATTCTTTTTTTAATTTGTCACTGGGGCATTATCTGCAAATTTACCTAGGTGTTTTATCTAAATTTAAATATACTTCACATTCAAGGGCCAATAAATATTAAGAAGCGGTACATTTTATTTTTTTTTTTTAACAACGCAATATATCTTAAAAAAAAAAAAAAAGATTCCGGCAAAAATCAAATTGTTTTTTAATTCGAAAAATAATTAATTAATTAATTATGAATGGTCCGCAAAATTAGTTACAAAAGTAATTATCAGTCAAAAAGTAAAACATTTAAAATTCTCTACATTAGGTACAACTACCAAAATGATTTTTCCCCGCAAAATATCACCCCCCCTCCCTTTTAAAAAATATTTGGCAAAAATCAGGGAATTATCCGACTGAAACGAAATTCCCAGGACATTAATGAATGCATATTTTAATACTCATTACTGAGTGAATAGGTTATTTTATAAAAAAATTTGGAGGAAATATTTTCCTGAGTATTTTTCACACCCACTTTTCGCGCGATATTGTGTGTATACATTTTTTGGGGATGTTTGTTCAATTTTTCTACAGTTATAAAAAGAAATCCCCGAAGATTAGTCAGAAATTTATGCAATCGACTATTAATATACAGAAAATTCGGCCTGCATCTAAAAAAAAACCCCAAAAAAAAAAAAAAAAAAAAACAATTCAATAAGTTAAGTGAATTAATAATTCAATTGATATTTGTTTAATAATGAAAGGATTGCAGAAAGTGTAACAGAAATCAGAAAGTACATTGGAATAGCGAAAGATGTCTTCCAAAAACTAGGTAAAAAAAAAAAGTATCATTAGCAAAATGCCATCAGAAGCAAAGAAAAAATGCCGAATTACTAATATCTCCTAAAGTAGTGTAAGCGGAATAAATTCACATGTGAAGAAAAGACATGAAACAACAGTGTTCAACTGATGAAAGATGACAATACAGGAAATATGAATAGAAATAAATAGACGCATACTGACACACAAAATGCAGTAAAGTATTTACATTAAATGAAAAAGTGAAAGTGTAGGAAAATTCAGTCTTTCAAGTTTTGTTATATTAAAAATCCGAACGTCCGAATTCCAAGCAAATAAAAATAAAGAAAACATTGTTGTGTCTGTTAAAAAAATCAATTGTATTTTTACAAACATATGTGTATGAATTCAAAGTAATCAAAAAAGAGTACTAAAAATACCCTAAGTCTTTGGGTAGTCCGTACACAGAAAAATCTGAAATTGAGAAAAAAAAAAAACAAAAAACAAAAACACTTTTAAATAGAAAAAAAAGAAAAGCTTTTATCGTTAGCAAAGATTCACTGACCGTCTTTGTTGTTGTTAGAGATGGTTTATTTGAAGTCGCCGACCTATTTTTCTTTTAGCATGCGCTGTGGGGACACAGTTGCATCTCTGCTCTCTGAAATTCAAAATTTTATAAGAATTTTTCCCCAAAAACAGGCTCGAGACTAATGTCCTCATCTTTGTTGTTATTATTATAATGCTTCGGCTGTTGAACACCTCTATGGTGTTAAAATTATTTTTTTCACTTCGGCTCTCAGCAATTTTGGGGAATGGATGAAGGTAATAAAATAATTATTGAAACCTTGCCACCCTGTGTACAAAGCTCCTTGACGAAGGAGCGAAGGGGGCCAATTAAAGGTGAAGGAAAGGTAAAGAAAAACAGAAGTGTTTTTTTTTGTTGTTGTTTAGTACAATAAATTGTTTTGAATAACGTGATTTTTTAACGAATAGCTACACGAGCCGGTTGAAATCTGAAATTCTTGTTTTGACCGCCAAAACTTTTCGGGTAAATCGGAGTCAACATTTGGCTATAAAAAAAAAAAAAACATGCAATACGACCATCAACAGGAGTGGAAGACGCTGTCAAAGAAGTGGGAGACTCAACACTTTCCAAAATATCTGAAAACCTGACCGCGTGTAGATTCCTCTTGGCAATCAAATTGCCTTAATTACGTTATAGCGATCATCATCACATACATACTTACGCAATTTCAAATTATACAACAACAAGCATTCATTGGATAATAAATCAACACTGCTTTGTAATAGACAATTTATAAATCGCAGCTATGCGACAATTTTATAATCGCTATATTTTCATGTAGTCAATTTTGTGCACTTTTGGGAGAATCGGATCCCAAAAGCCTTCTTAGCTTAGTAAATATTTTTCAGGAAATATCAACTTCTAATGGGTCAATAAACACACAAGTGGGCGTTGGACTTAACAAAGCTTCTGTGATCTGCTTCTCCCAAAAGTGCACAAAATTGACTACTTAAAAATAGAGCGATTACAAAATTGTCAAATTACTACGATTTGTAAATTGCCTGTAGTAATGTAGTGGTGATTTATTAACCAATGAATGCTTGGCATTGTATGTGATTTATATTTTTGTATGTATGTATGTTCGTGCGTAATAGGTCCGCACACTGGTTCCTTCAAAATCTTCTTATCCTCTTTCACTCCTAGTAAACCCTTGCTTTTCAGTGGCATTGTAGTGGACGCCTACGTACACCACGCCCACAAATTACTCAACAGTAATTGGACGGAAAATAAACAATACCTTTTGTACAGACAATTTACGCATCGCACGAGCCACATAAAAATTTCTCGTGTTTCTGCTTCACCAAACTAGCTATAGAAAAAAATCAACGATTAGTCGATTTTTGGCCAATCACATTAAATGACACTTTCTTCAATATCCTTCTCGCGCTCTTTCCTGGAGCCACCTTACATCTATATAAAGTAGAAATTAAAGAAATAACTTCAGTAGATTATAAATTTTCACAACCTAAATCACGTACGTGTATTTAATTTTCTACTCACAAACACACACAGATATAAACTACACTCACATACAACACAGTGTACTGTCTGTTTACAAGCCAAGTCAATTATTCGAACTATATCATTCTTCTGCACGAATATTTCAACTTTCAAACTCAAACATTAAACTACCAACAAATTTAAACAAAAGACATTATTACAACATACATTTGTTCTTCACACAATACAAGGGAAACCACTTCGTGTGACTTAATCTTTATTGTTATTAACAGAATGATATATGTATATGCTTATTTTAATACATGTTTACTTGTTGATTTTCATTGATCTCTCGTCATTCATTTTTGTGTTTTCTTTACAAATTTAAAGTGGAGTGTTAATGTAAAAACGCATCCTTGATCAAAAACCCTTCTGATTCTTTTCTAACCAACACCATTAACTACCCCACAGCATTATCGCCTTGCTTGGAGTGAATTGATTTAAAAAATCCAATGAGGAGTCAGTCTTCTTTCAATTCACATAAATCCAGATTGATTTCCTGGAATAAGCAGCATCGTTTGGTTTACTTGTTAACCAGTTTTCATTACTTTTTGGGACGAGGATGTTGTTACTCATACTTCCAAACAGTAGCGTGCAGAAAGAGGGGGGGAGGTGCGACAGCCTCGGGCATCCATATCGGGATGGCATCCAGTCAAAAAGTGTAATAAAAATTTAGTTTTTGAAATTTGAAATAAAGTGTTTATTTCCTTTTCATCTATTTTTTACGTTTTTTTACTTAATTAAACTGTCTTTCTTTCTCACATTTCTCAGTATTAGGCCCTATCACCTCCGGCTACTTGTGTCTTAGGGGCATACAATCAAGGAGTTGGCCCCGAGTATTACCAAACCTCTGCAGACCACTTCTTCCAAAAGAACTTCGTTCTACACTCTGCTTTAATTTCCAGAGACTTTTGAAACGGCCACCCACCATATAAAGGGAGACCACTGCAGCAAGATTTTGAGAAAATGTCGGTAGACCTTAGTAAAATTTTAAATAAAAGAAAGGTATAGTGATAGTCAAATTTAAAGATATTTATCATTGGCGTAATTATGGAACCTGTCACATTGCCTGCTTTAAAATAATTATTTCTTAATGTAAAATTATAAGCACACATTCTATTTATTATTAAAACCTTCACAGAGAAAGAGAGAGACAGCGAGAAGGAAAGAGACAGAAAAATATAAGGGAGTGGGATTCGAGCACGTGTTATTGTTGTGTTTTGGCTAGTTTTTCTAGGTTGCTAGGGAATGAACGGGTCTCGTCCTTCCATAGCTGGTGATTAGTCGATGTTAT